TTTTTAATTGCCAGAATACCTAAACTGGCAAAGCTTACATCAAAATTCCTAAAACCTTAAACCTAGACCAAAACTTACAACTAATTTTAAATCAGAATCCAACCAAAATTCTCAAAAATCTTAAAACTAGTGACAAACTCTTAAAACTCAACTTAAGTAAGATGCTGCTGGTAAAAGGTCCTGACAGGGGATCTCCTGGAGCTCAATTATGTGGGTTGTGGAGAGAGGGTCAGGGCCGGTAAGGAAATTTATCGGTTGTACCCCATAGAATTTACCCGAATAATCAGGAACACGATGGAGTTTAAGATTCCCCGTTACATAAATCCATTAAAAAACAAGTATCGAGTAAATATGACTTGATTAAACAAAATCAATCTTTCTATAGCCATGCTGCATTAACCAAATAAAACTATTTCACAATCAAATGCCTTCGACCTAAGTTCTGGAACGTTCTACAATTTCTTATATTATTTAAATATTCTACAAAACTTTATATATTATCGAATCTCAATAAATGACTCAAAGCTAAATACAATCGAGTTCTATCTTATAATTTTCTCTAAAACCCGAAGCAAAATCATCGTTTCTCCAATTGACTGTGTCATTCTGAACTGAACTTATTGACTAGACTAAATCACGAGAGCAAACCAAGGGTGGATCAATCATCTTTCATTATATTAGCTGAAATCTACTAAACTACTGAAAATCCTACCAAAATTTAGACTTGATACGACTTAGAGGAGCTGCAGAGGATACTTAGATGTCGTAATCTAGTCTCGACTGGTTCCTGGATGAACTGGAACCTCCTCTCTGCACCAGGGATGTCCCTGCGGTCCGCCATGTCTCTACTGTCTGCTATCTTCCTCCTTTACTTGCTCAAGTTCTTCAACCTCCACTCGCTTCTTCCATCTTCACGCTTCAATGGCTAACTCCTAACTCTCCTCTCCAAAGCCAAGTTGTTACTTCTTCAACAGCCAAGTTCTAACTATCTTTCCCTCTTCAATTGTTCGATGTCTTATCATTTTCCCCTCCAATAGCACAAGTATTTCGTGATTTGTAGGATTGTGTCCCCATTAGTAGTTTCCCCACAAGGCCTGCAAACTTATAGCTAATTCTCAAACTTAAATCTAATTTGTTCACAAAATCTCCAAAATGCACATTCCACACCTCCATCTCTTCTATTGGAGTGCAACGTTGCTGGACTTGATCGGATGATGACAACTCATAGGGCTAGAACGTCTCCTAGCATGGATCATCTAACGGGTGGCACGTTTCGTTTAGCCTTCTACTCCACGTTAGCGATCCACTTCTCCACTTAATGGTTCTCAACTCCACAAATGATTATTTCTTCTCCTCTACCAACTCCTTTTCATCCTATTGAGTCTTTTCCTACTACCAGAGCTACATACATGATCTTCCAACCTTGCCAATTATCGTGTATACTGATATTTTAAATTAACAATCGAAATAAATAATCATTAACAAAAGTATATAATCGAGTAAAATAATCTTTTAAGCACAACGTGAACAATTACTGTAATGACCATTAAAATAGGTCCTGGAAGCTCCAAAAATATAGAGAGCAACACGTGAATAATAGCTAGAGCAAACTAAGTGGGCTATGATTAGCCTTCAATATTAATTAATTATTATTTAAGACGTCAATGGGACGTTATCCTAAAAATAATTCAAAAAATTTTTGCACGTTCGTGATGACCGGAAGACATTTATTTGAATTTTTTAGAAAAAAAGTAAGGGTGAACATTAATTATTTGTGAGAAAAAAAATTTATATCTCCCACATAATTACATGATGACTGGAAGTCACGTGCGAAAATTGGCATACATGTTTTTAGAGATGTATAGAACATGTATGTACAGTTTTAGCTTGATGAAGGTAATTATGTGGGAGAAATTAATTTTTTCTCTCCCACATAATTTTTTTTTTGCGCTAAAAAATCGGCAAAAAGTACCCAAAAAAGTGTAGCTAGATCGATAGGAGGTTAAATTCTCTATCGATCTATATGTATAATTGTGGGACCTAAAATTGAGAAATTTACTCTAACATTTGAAGCGCGTAGATCTTGGAAAAATTCTCGTCTGATAAATTTCGAGCTCGGAAAGACTTTTTAACTACCCAGCATGAGCCTAAAACATCCCCTCTTCACTTACCGTACAGTGTCTTTGTCACACTTACGGTTGGAGTGTGCATTTCACTCGCACTCATGCTTCAAAATACTCGGCGCGTGTGCAGAAGTTTTATGTGAGTGCGAGTGAAACAGAGAAATATCTATTTCTCTCTGTCGCACCCAACGGCACCAGAAGAGGAAAAGCGCGCTCGGGACCCCAAATATTAAAATCTGTATAACTTTTAACAGGTGAAAGATAGAGCAGAATTTTGAATAGATGAATTGTTTAATTTTTCATTCTGCACATTTTGAGCCCAAAATCGGGCTAATCGGTGCATTTTTACAAAAATTAGAACTATTTAAATAATTCATTACTAATAAGAAGAATGAAAAAATTAATAAAAAAAATTTTTTTTTCTCTGAGAATATAGTTTGATATCTCATGTTTCAAAAAAAATCGCCATAACGTGATATTTGTAGCGTTAATTATTTTTTATTAATTTTCTTAGACGCAATTGAAGCTTTTGTTAATAGTGAAGCTTCAGTCGCGAATAACTTTTCATCTATCATAGATATGAAAAAAGGTATTTAGTACTTTTTTTATTAAAATTACATTCTGAACAGCTTTTATTGAAATTCGCGATTGGGGGCGGTTTTTCGCGATTTACTACCCCCCTATGCGTAATATTTTATTTTTAATAAATATTAAAAATTATAATTTGTCAAAGATAATTTAAAATATTATCTACCGATCAAATGAATCTGAACCTTCTGAAAATTTTCATTTCAGGTGCTGAACATTGTGACAGAAATTGTTTTTGTCGTTGAACTCACTCACAATACTTTATTTAAAATAAAAATTTTTGTCTCCATTTAAATTATCGACGCGTTTTCGTTAAATATTGTCGTTGATAGCAGTTAAATATCATCGTAAAATATTAAGTAAAAAAGAATAAGAAAAGTAATAGACCTAAAAAGTATCAATAATAGTCACTTAATAGTTGTAGCAAATGAACATTATTTTTCAAACGAGATATTATAAAACTTCATTAATTAATATCGAAAATAATTCATTACAACAATCTTTATTTGGCAGTAATCAAATAATTATAATATAAAGGATATCATACTGTTAGAAATGATCAAAAATTGTAATAAGCAATTTCTTATTATTAATAATTATTTAATTTATTTTTAATTATGATATAGTATTTTACATAAATTTTAAATTAGTTTTACGATTATTTAACAGCTAAAAATTATTTGTCATAATTTAAAGTAATGTTTAATAGTTAGTAGTCGCGAAGAAGTGTTTTCTATAATATTTAATAATAACAGTTAAATATTGTTAGTCATAATTGATTATTGCTAATAACAATTTGATTGAGTAAGTTACAGTAAAAATATCATAATAATATCAACAATAATGATAATAAATAAAATATATAGTATTTTTATTTATTTACTATAGTCGTGTAGACCGCGTGGGCTGCACCTTTACCAATATTTTTTAATTGTTTTAAATGTTTACTAATCTCAGTTAGAAGCAAACTGTCGGTTTTTAGCCTTATACGCTTACAGGCAAATTTAAATTAAACTTAAACGGTAATTTTGAAATCTGTTAGGACGAAAAATTTCAATACAATTTTTTAAAATTAATAAAATTAATTTTACGAAAATCCTCCGGTTCTCAATTCAATAAATAAATCACTCGGGTTTACATTTTTAAGAAGGAGAATTAGTTTTAATTTATTCTTCTTACTTTTTTTGATTGAGTAAGTTACAATAGAACTATTAAAATTTATCACATCATAAGTTGTTATTAATCACTACGCACGTCAATAAAATACTCTGTTATCATGAGAATAGAAATATACGTAGCTTCAATCATGTATTTATATACATTAAGTATACTTCAATGATTACTTCAAAATATTTCAGAAATTACTTACCATGATTGAGACATGTTGAATTTTTAGGAAAAAATTTTATTGAACTAAGAACATAAATAGTAGATGTTTACTATTCAAGAAATGAAAATTTTGGACATCTTACTGTTTCTTGAAAACTGGACTATAAATGCATCGGACCACAATGAAAATTTTTTGGAGTAGTTCCAAGCATTCAAGAAAAATAATTCTTATGCAGGTAGCATCTTTACTTTTATTATTAGACCAACAACAACGGTTGTATTTTTCATTTTTCTTCAACAACAGTTGGAAGAAATGAAATATAATACAAATAAAAAAGTAGTATTTTTTACCTTGAGTAATTATTATGAACTTTTGAATAGCTTTGCAAGGTATCAAAAGTTCAACAAATGCTGACAAACATCATTTAATGCTGACCCATCCTCCATAGAATGATAAAATCTCTGCTTATGAAGCACCAGGCTTATCTTGTGCTCGGCAGTAGATCTTTCTCAGTACACGAAAGCTGTATTATATTCAATACAGATCCTTTTATGTCTATTTTTTAAAAAACTGTTGACACCTTTGTATATACAAAAACAATGAGTTTAAAAAATTGATTTTTTTTTATGAATTGCGTGTAAAGCACTGAAGTAGTAACTTTAAATCAAAAAATATTTCAGTATTGTGATTTAAAGTGATAGCACTGAAAAATCAGTTAACAATCGCTAAAGTCATAAATAGAATTTAAGAGTACAGATTCATGATATACATAGTTATCATTTGAATTTTTTAAAAATAATTTTTAATGTAATTATTATACGAGTAAACCAGATTGTGATGTTAAATACAATTAAAAAATGATTCTTTACTATATTAGTACGCCTCAACTCCCTAATTTTTTTAGTAAAATTAAGCAAGTACTCTGGTTTCATTTTATATGCAATAACAAAATCAGGCTATAAAAATAAGTATGTTTTATTCACCTAATTTTTTTTTTAGTGTTATAACAAAATACAAATATTTTAATGTAAAATACAAAAATCATTGATTATTTTAACCACTAAACCTAATGCTGTTTCAACATATTTCATCATTTGAATAACAATTAAAGCATGCAAAACTAAAAGAAGAATTTCTATTTTATACATATACTGTAGTCTATCCATTAATGCAAAATAAATTCTTTTCGATGCTTTGCTTCCGAATTCACTGAGTCTTATAATTGTATGATGTAATTTAACGGGCTCATTGCAATCTTCTTCTATAAGAAAAAAACAGTATAGATCAAAAATTGATCAGTTGAAACCAGTTTACCCTACATAAAATAAATATTAATTTCTTACCCAAATCACTATAAATTTCATCTTCTAAAGCAGGCAAATATTTATCAAGCATTAATTCCGCTAGACCAGTAGTATTATCGACTGTTTTTAGTATATTTATTCCAGTCTCAGTGGACATAACTTTGTCTGCTTGCTGCCAGCTATAAACTCTCAAGTAATGAACTCTATAGTAAGTATGAAGAGTTATTATTTTCACTTTATGCTTTGTTTCTTGTTTCAAATCTATGAATATTTGAACAGCAGGACGAAGTCTCTTTAACACGAGAGATTTAGTCTTGTCAAGTATCTAAAACATTGAAAATTCTTTTTATTAAATTTTAGAAAAAGTCAAAGATACGAATAAAATAATAGAATATTTTTTTTTTTAGATTCTTAACACAGAAAAATGTAATAAAAATATGTAAAAATAAATGATCTGAAATATGTAAATATATTCTGTTCTTGCAAAAATTTTAATAATGACTTACATGACAAAGATAATAACCAATAGATATTATGTATGCAATGATAAAATTACGGTTTTGTTTGATCAAAGTATGTATTTTAATGAAACAGTTTTTTTCTCTTTTGTAAGAACATTTTATGACTTATACGAAACAGATTGCCAACTAAAATAAATGTCAAAATAATTTAATTATGTAAAATTTCAGTTCATACTGCCAAAAATCTAATATACATTAGTTTTTTAAAAAAAAGAATTCGTTTCAATATTTATACTGATCAATCTAGTAATAAAAAAACAGATGAGCAAATATTAAAATTGTTTATGCTTCCTTTGAAGTATCGGTAAGCTTTATATATTCGTAATTTTTGTAATTGAGTATAAAATGATTTTTAATAAGCCCCTTTAGATTTCCCTGAATAATACGGGTTTTCCTTGTATTTAAACAATTGAAAGTGATTATTAAAGTTAAATAATCATTTCATTTGAAAAATATTCTTCTTAACAAAATTGAATTTTTAATATACCTACCTGTTTTGGATCTTCTCTGATGATAGGTAGTTTAACTTCAACAAAATCAAAACCATAGCAAAGAGTTTTATCGAGATTATGAATCGGTTTCTCCACGAGTTTTGTTACAGGTACAGATTTTTCAATAACTGTAGCCAATACCATTTCAATAGTTTCTAGAGCCCAATTTGTGAAGGAACTCGCACTTTTTACTTTTTCATAGACTTCCGTAGATTTATCCCAAAGATAATTAACGCTTGGAATTTGAAGAGCTCTATTAAATGCCTGAATTCCAAGATGATTTTCTATTTGCAGTGAATCCATGATTGTATTTATTATTCTTCAAGAAAAAGTTAGATTTAATAAATTTATTAATATTTAATGAAAACATATACTAATATTGGATGTATAGATAATTATTTAATTATTTTATAAATAAATGAAAAAGGTTTATTCCAAAAATATACATACATAATACGTCCAATAGTATTCGAAAATATCAATTTTATAATTTCTTTTCGTCTCTTTTTCGAATCGGGTCATTGACAATCAAGAACTGTACCCTGATCTCTGACCCATGTCAATATAAAACTTAATTGTATTAATGTGTGTTGTACTAAATATATTATGTATTTTTTAATTTGTTCATATCACTATATTTTGTTACACATTTCTTGCTTATACGTGATACTCTTTGGTACTAATAAATCATTGAAATTAGTTAAAGTGTCTGTCACTAAATAATAAAATTTCTTATATATAACATCAAGTTGTCAGTGTTATTAAAGAGAATTTAATTACAAAGATATTTTATTTAAAAAAAAAAAACAATTTTTATGTTTTAACAAAATATTTTATTTTTAATGATGACAATAACACCGAACTGAACTCACTGTCTACTACATCATACAGAACACATCAATACCACTTTACTGTTTCTTTCACAGTAAAAAAAAATTTGAGGGCGCTGCAGTAGAAAAACACTATTTTCTTCAGTACCATTATCAATTGTAGAAGAAATTCGTATTATCGACATCAGATCACATTATTCATCATGTTTTTAAAGTTACATATAGATTAGAGGGAAACATAGTCGTCGATATTACTGTAAATAGCCAAATCGGTCATTATTTTCCTAAAATACTAATCGATTTAGGACAGCCCATCCTTTATAATAATAAATCTTGTACAACTGGTATGTCTCTCTAATTAAATTGCCAATAACATCTGTAAGTAATTTTAGCGTTTAATGTTTATTATAATAATAGTATACATTATGGTAAATAAATTAATTTCATGTACTGCTCAATTCACTAGTATTTAGTTTACCATTTTTGATAAAAAAATGATGATAATTTAGAACATTTATTTGCTGTTTATTCCGTAAGTTTTCTTTCAACTTCTTTAAAAGTATATGTGATAATTAACATGATATTATAACTTTATTATCGAAACTTATTGTAAATATTCTTGTACAATCAAGCTACCAATTTATGTTTATAAAGGATAAAAAATTATTTATAGTAAATGATTTATTAGTAGATGAACACAACTCAATATATAAAAAGAGTTAATATTTAATTATTCATCTAGAAAAGAAAAGCAATGAAATCAAATCTTAATCACAGAAATCAAATATGTACATGTATTTATTTAACTTTTGGTAATAACTTGGTTAGCCTAAATTAGTTTGTTTTATGATGTAAAGATAATGTTAATGAGATACCTTTCATGGATAGAAAAAAATATTTGAAGTATCAGAAATGGAAGTACGAAATATGGCTAATTTGTTAATAATAATAAAATAAAAGAAGATATAAATTAATATTAGTTTATTTATTAGAAAATGTAAAGTGCTAACTCAGACTAAAAGTTCCCTAGTAGCCAAATCAATGTGAGACTGACTAGATTTAAAATACAATTATAATAGCACAGAAAATCAATGGTAACATGTTCTTTTTATTTTAGAAATTTTATTGTCGTTCCAAGAGGTAAAAAGTTGAAAAAAAACAATCATGAGGGAGGAAATGTCATACACTGGCGGGGTCAAACCGATGCCCATTGCAGGTCGTATGGTTCGTCAACGTGAACGTCTTCTTGGAATGACTGATGAAGAACGAGCTTGGCGTGCACAATGGTTAAAAGATCAGCATTTAGCTCCTGAGGAGCCCGTTCCTAATCCGGAATACTACAAACAACGTTATAATGCGTTTAGAAGATTTTATAGATGGCCCTTAGATCAGCTTGAAAATTTTTTAACACCCAAAATAGGAACTGATTGGGCTTATTGCTGTCGTCACGGAATAAGCAAAACATTTTTTGCTCTCATGTTTACATATTATATGGTTTATTACTTCAAGTATAATTCCAATGATTGGACAAGAGTTGGTGGATTAAAAGTGTCAATGTCAAGACCTGTCATGTATCGTGACGATCCGAACTTTCCAAATTTCCAAGAAAAAACTACAAGAGAATTCGCTGATTATGGTTTCAGTAAATCTCCACTTTAAGTTAGATTTGGTTGTAAATATAGTATAATGAGGAATAAATGTGTTAAATAATATTAAATATTGAACAATTCTATTATTTTTTTCAATACTAATCATTTACAAGTTAGACTTTTATGTAATAGTCATATAAAGATATAAAAATAACTGTTTAGTACAACTTTTATGGGTTTACAGTATAATTAAAAATGGTTTAACACTTAATTCTTAGTGATATGTTTTACGAATTTATTTTAATGATCTTTTTTTTCTTCAACGGCTGGTGAATTTGTGATTTCTTTATCAAGATTCAAAAAATGTGTTAGATGAAGAATAGAAATAACACTAGAAATATAATTTCCTACGTCTTCTTTTTTTACAGTTTTTAATTGAGCAGAAACTGAATGATATACACGATTAGCCATCTTTGTTGACAATTGACCAATAGTTTGAACGGCATGAAGAACTTTGTTTTCATCTGCTGATACGGGAGCTGTAAAAAATTTTTAGTTTATTACTAAAAATTTATTATTCCATTTTATAAATTATTTTTTTAAATTTTCTATTTATTTAATACCGGGTTGATTTTCTTCACCAAGAACTGAAGGAAAATAATGATCAAGTAACCTGTTGACAAGAGCACTTGTATTGTCCACTCCTTGTATAGCTAATGAACCATAATGAGTACTTAGAAGTTCATTTGCTTTACTGATGCTAATATCTTTAAGAGCAGTAGCCTGATTTGCAGCAGATTCTTTGATAGAGACTAATTTTTCAATTGTTGGTTGGAGTGAACTACTCATAACATTTCTTGCAGCAACGTATATCTGAAAACATCAACAGTAAATTTTTTACAACTTCATATTCACTAATTCAATTTTTTCAATGATAATAAATTTTTATAGCTTGAGAGTTAATTTACTAATAATATAATTATAGTGTAAGTTGATGAAGATCAATATTTTATTGATTCACTTTAATCATTTAAATTTTTATTTGTATTAAGGATAGAGTTACAGTTTTAATAAATCTTCATAACTTACTTCTTCAGGTGGTTGTTTAACAATAGGAACTTTCTGCTCAACAATATCCAATCCTTGACACAATTTTTGGTCGACAGAATGTATTTGATCTTCAAATTTTTTAGCTAGAGGATTTGCTATTGGAGCTGCTGTAGCAGTTGCGTAATGAAGTCCAGCTTCGGCAAAACTTAATGCCCAATTAACAAGATGATGAGAGTCTTTTAGATATGAATATGTAGATCCAGTTTTTTCTATGGCTGAATGTACTGCTGGAATATTTTTTACGCGATCAAGTACTTCTAAACGCGGTCCTTGACTTGTTGGACTTTGTACTGTTGGATCTGTCATGATTGCTAAGATAATTTTTCTGATTATTTTATATTCAGAGATGAAAAACAAAAGATATTCAAGCACGCATAACAATCATTTTTCAATCTATTTATCTAATCTAATTGAAATAAGCTTCAAGAATATTTTTGATTTGAAGTAAATGAATTTTGTGATAGAAAACTGAAAATGTAGCCTAGAAAGTTCCGGTAACTCTGATGTCGAAAAGTATACATATTATTTACGAAAATAGTTTTAACAATGTTATAAATATGCTTGAACTTACATGTTTTAATGATAAGTTGTGAACTAAAATATTGCTTTTGGCTAAAAAAGTTATCAGCATCTACTGTATCTAAATATGAACTAACGTCTTGTGTGTAATATTACTTGATTAAATACTTTTGTTTGGCATAGAAAAGTGGGAGAATCTTTCAGGAGTGTATGCTCCACATGGCTCTTCTTATGTCTGACAAAAGTTTCTTTTCATCATTATTAATTTACTCATAAAATATTTGTTTCAGATATTTTTTAGTTGATCAGAGAAATAGAAACAAATAACTTTTCTTTATAATTGAAATCTTGTAATATTTACATATTTAATCAAAATGATTGAAAGAATTCGTAATTATTTACTGATATAAAGCCCTGCCGTTTAAATATTGACGTGGGGGTCACAAACACATCATCAAAATAATTTATATATCATTCACGGAATTATGTATTTCAATACGTGGTTATTATTAATATTTTTATGAATCATTAATTTCAATGTGATGACAAAACTTTCATCATTTAAAGATCAATGTTCAAAATTAATTAACTGTATAGGTGAGTTAGTAATTATTTTTGTAAATTTAGCTTCAAATTGTCTTTGCTAATTACGTGTATTAGCTGCAACCTGTCATTACTTACAATTAAGGTGAAAATAACTTTTTCTTTCCTTAACAAGAAATGTTTTCACCAGAAGAACATGTGATTGAAACAGTCTGATATTTTTTTCCACTAAAATTAGTACTTAAGAAAGATTTAAATTACTGTCTTTATTGAATCATTAAGTACAAAAAATCATTAATTTACATAATAAGATAAATTTGAATTCTTATTCCTAGCTTTTTTTTACAATAGTCAAGTTTTTATAAAGTACATCTTTTGAATTAGTTATAAATGGTTTTTAAAGTATCAAAAATCTATATGAAATATGAAAACTTTATGATTTTTTATAAAATTTTTTTATTGCATTAACAAGTATTCAATTATGGCTGTCACTCTGTTTTGACATGGCCATTAGTTTCTTAAGAGTCATTTTTATTTTTTATTGGACTCGTGAATTTATGAACTTTATTGTTGATTACATGAAGACATTGGGCGATGTGTAAAAACTCAACGACAGTGTTAATGTAAGTCTTTACTGCATACTTGTTGACCGTTTGAAGATTTCGAATAACATTAGTATAAACCCGTCGAGCTGCTTTATTAGACAGTTTTCCAATAGTCTGTAGAGTATGTAAAAGTTTGTCTTCTTCCACTGAGGCTGGTTCTGAAATTAGCATCAACATGTTGGTAAAGTTTTACTTATTAGCAGTTACAATGTAATTATCAGTTTGGAAAATAGCAAATAAAAAAACATGTATCATAGTTACAGTCAAAACTTACCAACAAATTCTTCATTACCAGTAGCAGGAAAGTATCTATCAAGTAATTTATCAACCACAAGAACTGTATTATCAAATCCTTGTATAGCTGCAGTTCCATAATAAGAATCAAGAATTTGATTTGCTCTATTCCAGCTGCGTTCTTTTAGCACTGAAGCTTGGGTTATAATTAAATCATTAGCGTAAGTGATAGTAGATACTGCTGGTCTTACGGTTTGCAATGCAAACATGTATCCTTTTTCCATTATCTAAACAATGAAAATTATGTAGATATCAACATGAGTACGAGTTAATAATAACTTACTATACATGTTTTTAAAAAATAATTATAGATTACCTGTTCTGGTGAATCTTTTACGATTGGAACAGACTCTTCGATCTTGTCCAACCCTATACAGAGAGTATAATCAACAAAATGGATTGGAATCTCTAATTTCATAGCGATTGGTACAGCAAAGGGTACTGCTTGTTTAGTTGCATTACTCAATGAATTTTCAGCCGTAGAGAGAATCCAATTAATTAACTGATGAGAACTTTTGACACGAGAATATGTTGACGCTGATTTAGCTAATGCTCGTTCTACTAATGGAAGTCCACAGACTCGATGAAAAGCTTCAAATTGTGGCAGTTGAAGCATTGTTTCAGTCGCTGTAGCCATTGGACGGTTTAAGATGATAGATATAAATTGTTCTACTCAACTAAATTATAGGTATATGGTTAATGATTCTCTTCTAAGAAACCTTTTTCTTAGTAAAATTTTATTGATATTTTCTCTTCCGCAATTTCTTCAAATCTTATGAGACCAGCACTTGAAAAAAAGGTCACTTTCTCTGAAGAATTCTCTGAAATAGTTATAAAATGTAAAAAAGATATTTTAAATGAATTGTTGGAGAACGAGAGATTGGTCTCTTAAGATTGATCAATTATTGTTGATGGAAAGTAAGTATATGTAGTTATTTATTTATAATATCAGTCTCAATTGTATCACTGAAAAATTATAAAATACACTCAAATAATCAGTTTTGATTGATTTATTTAATCAAAATTTTAAGCAAAAAATCTTTTCATAGTTATTGGTGCTTAGTTCATAAAACTAATAAGAAGTGACAGTTTCTAATTAAAAGAAGTTTGTACCATGTTTAACATAGTATATATGACTGATATAGCAATTTGGTTTAAAAATTCACTGATGTGTAAGTTAACACGACTTTTAATAAATATGAAAGTGTAACTGTTAAATTAATTTATATTTTTATAGATAATAATTTTTCACTTATTTAAAAAAAAATAAGAAAAAATAATAATAGTATTAATACTTTATATAAATGTAGACGTAAATACTTATCATATAAAGCATCCTGCTTTCAGGCAATGACATATCGACAAACAATAATTTAAATCTCGAGAAATATAGTAAACGAATCGCATGAGCTTAAAAATAATTAAATTATCGCCAAATGATATCAAAAAATGCTCACCAATTGCGTAAAAATCATGTGAAGAAATTGAAAAAAATCATGAATTTATATATAAACCAACACTTGATGTTTACAACAAAAGTTATAAAAGATAAATATGTTTTGACACACGCACAAAGTTTACTAGTATTTCTACACGGTCTGTGACATCAATGAGAATGATTGTTGGAGAGACATGCGACTTATATGAATATGAACAGAGGGAGAGTGTAGTGCTAGCCGGCAATATTTCAGAAGAAAAACTACCACACATAAAGTTTGTATTCCTCATAAACACTGGTTTGTTACTCTGATACATCCTACTTTTCTGTCTCTGAAAGTTCAAAGTCCAATGAATATCTTTTCAAACTTCATCACTACTTTTATGATATAATTTCCAAACTCTGTTATCGGGGTAACAGATAAAGGAGATTACAAGTTACTATTATTTTCATCAAAATGTATTATATTTAATAACGAGATTAGTCGTGACGTTGAGAAATATAGCAAGCAGTCAATAAATCGATTGGTCAAGTTTCACGGAAATCTGAAGACAAGCACTATTGTGAAAGTAAAAGACAGTATGTACACATACGAAATATAATAAGTATATTTGTGGCTTGTGGTGTCTCGTCTGGAAAAATTCATCTATGAATCATGCAAAGAGTATACAAATTATCGACTTATCATGAGCAGACCAGACGACAGAGAATTTTTTTCTTTTTCAAAAGATTTTTTCAGTTCTACTTATTATGTCGTTAATGATAATTGTTTACAACGATGTAAAATGCTTTGTTAGTCTACACATCTTTGTCATTGAGGTCATTAAATTAGTAAATATTCATTTTGTTATCTTAGGGAATATCAGCAACAAGTGTTTTTCAATAATAAATTTAATTTATTTTAATACAACTCTTTAATCGATACCATTTAAGGCACGATTTAGACATTGAGACATGTGATTATTATGGTTTTGTGATGTTAACTTTTTAGGTTCAGGACGCCCAGCTAAGAATATTGCAGTTTTTTCCTGAAATCATATTTGTTCTATTTATATGAAATGCCTATTTGTAAATAAATCTGCCTTACACAAGTTCTGTAAATTTTTGTTCAAAATGAATATTGATCTTGTGAAATAATGGCATAGTTAACTTAAAATAAGATGAATTTTTATCTCATTGTTTAATGTTTGGTATATTTTTGATAGAATAATTTTAAAGTTTAATACAAAAAATTTTATTGTTTCTTTTTATGAATTTAGTTTAGTGTAGTTTTTAACGAATGTTTAATAAAAAAAATCTCTGAATTGAAATTTTACATTTAAAACGTTAAAAATTATTAAAAACAAAGTAAAAACGTTGTTTATAAAATATAATTCTTAAAATTACTTTTTCATTATTTCCATATCGTAATTTTACAACTTTTCAAATGACTATGAGTTTATAAAAACTCTGTTATTATCTTAGAAGGTAAATATTCATTGAGAAAAGTATTTATAAAACTTTTTCGAAAGAAATATTTCAAATATATTTATATTCTAAATGAAGCTATAACTTACTAAAAATGCAGTAGTTGAAATGTTAAGCCTTTGAACGGCTGCTTTTAGAATAGAAGCTTGAGATTCTTGTACTTCTGGCTTATAAGTAATTGAAGCTACCTATAAATTAAACACAATTAATAATTCCAAGAGTTTTCAGTAAAAGGTAAATCCATTATTGTATTACTTGAAAAATAACGTCAGCTATTGAGAGCAATTGATGTGAAATTGTTGTAAAAATAACTTCAAAATAAAGAGGACTCTTTGCTGCAAATATTGTTGCCGCATTTATTAAATGTACAATTCTGCGTGCAGATTCTCGTGTCAATAAAACCAAGAGTTGCTCAAGAGTCTTGGGACGTTGTTGATTTTCTGGTTCTGGGAGGCTTAATAACGCCCAGAGTTCTTTAGATTTCTGATAAGCTGTTTTGGGATCAGTTATAGCCTGGAATGCGAATAACATTTAGAGAAAAATAAAAATAAATTTTGAATATTAAAAAACAAAACAAAACTCATAGAACTTCATAAATCCCAATAAAAAAGCTGAAAAATTTGTGAAATTATTATGTGTGTGCGTAATTTATTTTATAAGAATTTGTGATTTCTATGAGCTTATTTCATCAGAAATATTGACTTCATTTTTTTAATTTTTACTGCAATCAACCTGCGTGACTACAACTATGGAAAAGTTACTAAAATCCTAATTTATTTAGAAATATTTAGAATAATTATTAACTTTTTATATGTAAGTTATTGTAATGGGTTCGATTTTTTAAATTGAAAATTTCAAGTGTTTATATCTGTATAAAAAATTTCTTCTTTTCATTGAAACTTATTAAATGTTCTATGCCAACATATTCATGAATCATATTCATTTTCAACACATTCTATAAAATCAAAAAATTATCATTACAGGACGTCATTTTTGAAATTTCTTATGTAAGAAAATTTATCATGTATCAAAGTGGTGAATTATACAAAGAAAAAAAATTCATTTCTCACTGCAAATCCATGTTAAATAAAATACATAAATATATTCCAATCCATGTTTTAAAGTCTATCTCTCTACTAAAATTAATTATTCTTGATTCAAAATGCTATAATGACATCAATAAAAAAAAACTCACGATGTTTTTTATGAAAATTTTTATAGCAGGAAATATTATTTCGTAAAATTGTTGCAGTTACTCAAGCTGATTACAGTCTACAAATGTAAAAAAATATCGGTGTTAAATCTGACCAACTTCATGACTTTTATAAGAATATGAAGGCACTCGATTCCTTGATTCTTCAAAGCTCGTGCCTCTGCCAACGTACGACGAGTAAGTCTTCTTTGCACTTTCCTTGAAAGTCTAGCACCATGTTTCAGTGTTCGAGCTGCCTTACTGTTTACTTTAATTACACTTGCATTGACTTCTGTTACTTAATGATGAGAAACAAAAAATTATTTACAAGGAAAAAAAATCTTTTTTGGCTTTTCAAAAAAATGAAAAGATTTTTGTCAATCTACGTAAATTTATTTGGATCATTTTTGTACACGGTACTCGCTAAAAATGAAACAATGGAAATAGTTGAAAAACACTGCAAAATAGTAATAATAATATCATTTTTTGAAACAGTTATATTTCGATAACTGGAAGTTATTGTTATTGAATCGATTGGTAAAATTTGAATTTTCATCATATTTCCACGTTACAACATACTTGCAAGTATACTGATCAATTTTAAAAATGATGTGTGTGTATACATATGTACGGATGTCAGCATTTTTTTCGTTTTCGATATTTGAAGAACGGATCGGGATACAGTCATACTCCTCTAATTTCCGCAACTCGGAAGACATGATTCTCGAAATTGGAAATTGAGGGTCATGGTACCGCTCTATGCTAAGTAGCGCGAGTGGGGAAAAAAAAGTGGGGAGTGAGGCCTGCTCATTGGAAATTAAGGGTTAGGAAATTAGAGGAGTCTGACTGTATCGACTTTAACCAAAACTTATTTGAAAGATATTTTTATAGAGAAGATCTGAGTGAAATTTGAATGAATTTCGTCGAATGTTTTTTTTATAACAAAACAACTAATAATAAATACATAAAAAGATGAACTATTTGAAATACTTTTAAGCGAAAGAATAAAAATTTCATCCGAAAATTTACGTTGATATTGACTAGAGACTATTGTTCACAAACCAATTATGTGTTGTTAAGAACAATTTAAATTCGTTATAAATAATTAATAATGGGAAGTTATGGACAGACATTTACTCTACCGTACCCAGGAAAAAATGAAATAGATCTACATTGATCTAATTAGATTTATTTTTTTGGCACAATTAGATCTACTCCGTTCTGTGTACATCTATTTTGATCACTCTAGATCTCTTGTGATCTCTGTAGATTTATTGAATTTTTTCATTATCGAAATTAATGGAGATATCCATAGACATATAGTAATTTGTGTAGATATTTAGTGATCTCACTAGATATACATAGATTTACTTCGATCAAATTTTCTTCAGTGTTTTAGATATGAGTAGAGCAAATTAGATCAATAATGTGGATCTGTGTGGATCTATTTCATTTTTTCTCAGGTATTTAATGAGAAGAGAGAAACCCAACGACAGATAAAACTTATGTTCTATTTTATTCAGTTAGTTGTGTTTTAAAATTCACTTGTTATCTTTTTCGATAGAAATCTCTAGAGTTATTTATTTAAATGAAAAAATTTATACAGAACACAGAATTAGGTTTAATAAAGTAAATAATAATTCTCGCAATTATTTGATGGTCGTTTTTTATCATATCTTGAATCAATGTACAATTAAAGACATTTAATCTAACAATACAATGATTTTTCCATAAATAAATATAATTAAGAATATAAGAATTTCTTATTTTTGCGCATTTTCCATATAAAATTTTTGTTTGAAAAATTTCGTCCGAAAATGTTAGCAAAAGAGAAATAATAAGTATCAGAGACAGCTTGATAGCTAATATTTATCTATTAGCGTGATTGATTATTTTTCTGCGTGAATACATGCGTTAGATTTGTTACAGATTTAGTTATTTGAATGGATATTATGTAGAGCCGTATATATTCTATTAAATGATTAAAAGTTTATAAATCATACTTTAATTGTACACAGAAAAAATTATTAAAATATGCCTTGGAAGTAATTAACGATGATCATTTAGTCATTAAATTCAAGTAGGTATTATTCTTTAATCAGTAAAGATATTTTACCTTCTCCTCTTTTATCAGTTGGATCGGCGGGTAAATAATGATCAACATATCCATCAGCAACAGTTAACGCGTCGTCCAAAGTTTCTGCGGCAACGGCAGCTGCTTGACTACCGATTTGCGTTACACTTCCGGCTCGTTTGATTACTGGTTTCACGAACTTATCATTCATGTATTCTCGTGTGTTTACGTAAAGCTTTGTGCAAGTAATTGAATTCAACGTCAATTACGTAACTGACTTATTTGTAACATCGTATATACAATTCATGTTTTAAAAAATTAAGCATAGAAAATATAAATAATTTTAAACTTACAATTTGAGGGGGTAAATTTACAGATGGCACTCTCAACTCAATAATATCAATTCCTCTACAAATCATTTGGTCAATTGCTGACGTAATTTTATTTAATGATAGAAAAGCAGGTTTAGCTGACGCTGTTACAAGTGCCAATGATTGTTCAACGGTATCCAAACTCCAGTTTATTAACGAATTGGATTTCTGTAGAAATATATAATAAATAATCAAGTTATAAATTGCTTCCCCTAAGAAGCTGATAATGAACATGCTAGTGAAATTTTTACTAATTCTATTATTCTCATAGGATTTACAAATTTTATAAATTAAATATTACCTTTATTTTTCCATAAATATTAGAAGTCAAATTGATGCTAGATTCGATAGCTGGAATATTTGAAATTCGAGTAATAGATTCCCAATGAAGATCTGTGTGACATCGTTGAAAGGATTTCTTTGCCATTTTCAGCTATTAGTTTTCTGAAAAGTAATTTTTTAATTGAAAACATTAATATTAATTTCATTATAAGAACAATAAAAATAATAATTCTTTATACAGTGAAAAAAGTTTAGAAAATTCATTTTTAGGACAAAAAAATTACCAGCATCAAGTCACAACAACTACCTCCCTTAAAATGAAACTGTATAGTTGATTCAAAATCACTGTAAAAGAAATAATGTTAACAAATTTTTCAAGAATATTCGCTTTATTCTTGAAAAAATAGTCTAGTTAAGTTAGACCTGAAATAGTAATTTTTCAACCTCAGTTAAACTTGACTGAAATATTCCTAGGCATGCAAAATTTGACTAGAAATAGTTTTAAGGAGGTTGCGAGCCAAGTGTCAGGGTAAAAAAGAGGGTAAGATTGCTCTGGAAGCTTTTTTTTGACGTCTTTTCGTATCCGTTTAACTATGAGGATGTTAAAAACCACTGAAAATCCAGTGTTTAAGAAGTGTTTGAAGAAAACTAAACGTGTAAAGTTTTTTTAATGTTAAACGCCATAAATAAACAAGAATTTTTAGTAAACATCTCTAATTATTTAAAAGTCGACTATAAACGCTGTAACACTTTAAATTTTTAGTTTTCTTCAAACACTCGATTTGCAGTGATGCTCAGATTTCCCGATAGTTGATAAAACTGATTATTTTCACAATAACCTATTCCACTCCAATACTTTGAAAAAAATAATTTAAAATTCGTTGCAATATTATTTTTTGTTCATATTTGATCATTAAATAAAGTCATAAAAACTTACGGAATTTCAACGAAGCTCGTCAGTGTCATTTAGAAAATACTTTATTTACTGTGAATAAAAGACCATGAATAGTATCTCATCAATTTGACCTATGACTTATGATTATAATTTACGTATGATCTCAAAAGTTTGTCACGAAAAGATAAATATTTAATACAATTTTCTTTCATGTATATTTTAATGAACACAATTTTTTGCTGTTTATTTCTGCTCGAAATTCATTAACTGTTGAAAAATCAACATTACACTACATACTAGAGAGCAAAGAATACTTTCTCTTAAAGAATGAATAAAAAATCTGTTTTTTTAACGCAATCGCTGCAGCAGAAAAAATTTTACATCATTTGATAACCGTTGTCCATCTCAGTGATAATTAACATCGAATTTGTTAGTCGGTGCAGAGGCTATAAGATCTTCTGAGTATTGTGTATTCTGTGATATATTTTTATAACAATCAAATAAATCAATATAGAAAAAAAAAACTTCAAACTGTTTTATTTTTAAAAACGATTAGACAATATTATTAATATCTTCACAACAATAAGATATTTATTTTATGTAAATGGAATAAAAGTTCTGTATACTTGAGATGCATCATAATAAATATTTCAGTCAAGCTTTTACTTGTATCTTGATTCACAAAAAATTAAGAAGAAAAAACCTGTGAATCCATGATAATTTTCTAATTTGCTAGGTCATTGTATGAGAAAAGAATTGTTTAGTAAGACCCGTGTAAAAGAAATTGGTTCCGGAGGCATACTGCCAGAGTTCCAAACTTTGAGACTGCCGTTGAGACGGAGTAGTACAAATTCGGAATTTTTTAATAAAATTTTTTTGTAAATAAATAGAAATTTAAAAAAAAATGGAGAATTATTCCATATTTAGCATATTTGGAATAAAAATTTTTTGGAAGAAAACATTTCAAAATTGAGGGGCTGGAAGTATATAGAAAAGTTTGGAGTAAAAGTTGTAGAGAATTTAATTTTCTACAAAAAAATATGTATACTATTTTTTCCTATCTCTTACCGTTTATTATTTACATGCGATTAAAAAGACTGTGGAACGTCGAATTTTTTAAAAAATTATTTTATACTTACAAAAAACACATTAGAGCACTCGTTTATCACTCTGACTATATTTTCTGAGGTTTTTTCTTTTTAATGAGCTTTTCATTAATTAATATTAATTTGAAAATTTCAAATTAAATTTTTTTGCATTTAATCTAATTGAATTTTTTTTTTCCTCTTCCATTCGATTCAGCATAAAATTTACGATTAAATGTGTGCTCTTACATGTATTTCCATTTTAATTCAAGTGAGATATACAAAAATTAAGAATTAAGCGACTTTTAATTTACTACGTTACTGCCACTGAGAGAGACCTCCTCCTCGTGGGTATACCTGGTAACTCTTCTCTTATTGTAGCAGGCCGAAGGCTAAGAGCCGCCATCACCACTACCTATACAATATGTCCAACCAAAGCAATAAAGAACAGTGAACGCAAAAATTGACGAAGCTATTAAGTACCATGGCAGAAATGGTAGAGATATGAATAAATAAACAAACACAAACATAAAATTTTGGCATATTGTTGGCATACTTTCAAAATATCGGAGATTGAAAGCTGAAACAGGGTAGTGAGGTTCTCTCGGGGCACGGACGATCTAGCGTGCTTCTACCCCCGAAGGGTTCTGAGCTGCCTTGTTATCACGTCGTAGGTCTCTTAAAAATGCATGTTAATATAGAGCTCTTAATAACCCAAGCCATATTCATCGGCCAGTGGGGGTGTGAAGATCTAGTCCAAAGGGGTGACTAGTAAATCACACGCAGACCGCTTTCCGGAAGCCCGTCCTTCTCCCGAAAATATTGTATGACGATACTGCGAAGGTTATTCCACCTCTCATATTTGATTGGGCGTGAACGAGGATTCACCCTTCAGTTTTTAGTGTACGAAGGTATTTCCGAACGCCCGATATCCTCTGTGGTCATCAGACTTCGACACCAGAGGGAAAAAGCTTGCGAATTTCTTTACCGAATTTGGTTTAGAAGTTCTTTATAAAATCGAAGAAGGTCCCACATACAGCTCTTCAAGAAGAGAATCGTACATAGACGTGACTGGACTCTTCTATAGACTGCGCCATAGATACCAGCGAATCAAAAAGCTTGGTGCAGATACCCACCGAATCACAGCAGCGAGACTTCGATACCGCCAGCAGGTAAGAAGGTACTCCCAAGCGATGAAAAAGGCGAAAACAAAGAGCTGGAAAAAGTTTGTTACAACCGAAAAAGTCCTGAATGCACTTCGCACTGCAGAGGGTAATGGAACCCTGAACTTTCGAGAAATAGCCAAGCGATTGCTGGCAGTACACGTGGTCGTTGACCATCCAGAAATTGACACAGATGAACAGAGCAGGATAAAGATAAACGCTCTTAACCTACCTAGCACAGATGATGCAGAACCATTTAACAAAGAAGAACTCAAGCAAGTCGTCCGAACGCTCAAGAACGGAAAAGCTCCAGAGATAGACTTGCTGGAAGTGAAGGTTGTTAAACGTGCAATCGCGTACCTCCTAGAAAAATTTCTAACACTTTTCAACGAATGCTTGTCCCAAGGCGTCATTCTTTGGGCTTATAAGGAAGGAACGATTCGTATGCTTCTAAAGAGTCCCGACAAAGATGTAGCAGACCCTAAATCATATCGACCTATATGTCTTCAATCAGTACTAAGCAAAATCTCCGAAAGTCTTATAAAAATTTGTCTTTCAACTAGCGTCCTTAAACAAGGGACCATCTCAGATCACCAATATGGATTTATGGAAGGGCGATCAACGGTGGATGCGATACTGGCGGTGCGAAGAGCGGTGCAAGAGTCTACGGAACGTAACGTGGTTGCATTGCTCTTCGATATCTCAGGCGCGTTTAATAATGTATGGTGGCCTTTAGTCCTCGAAAGACTAAAGTCACGAAACTGCCCTAAAAATATCTGCAAAGTAATGCAAAATTACTTTACAGATCGTACGGCGTCCGATGATGAACCTCAGGTTAAAAACACTCAACATATGGCAGGCAGAATGGGATGCGTCCCAGACGGGTCGCAAAACATACCAATTCTTCCCGAACATAGCAGATAGGCTTGATAATAATTGGATACGCCTGAACAATCTAATGACACCAGTATTCACAGGACATGGCATATTTCGTGCACAATATGCTACAGAAACAGATCCAACCTGCCCTAATTGCAATAGGGGAGATGATGACACAGTGGAGCACTTCTTGCTGCACTGTCCTGCACATACAGACAAACATAGGGATCTCATATCGGTCATACGTTCGGGAACGAACGTTGAGCTCAGCCTAACATGGCCTGAAATAGCACCAAAATTCGTCTAAACAAAAGACACATGTAAGGTCCTCGAACAATTTGTCAAAGCATGCGCGGAAGAGAAATTGTTCGAGGGAATCAGAAGAATCCGCGAGGGGGTGCGAGAAAAGAGGAGTGTAGCGCAAACAGGAGCAGCAATGCCCAACACACAGAATCCTTCGCCTCATAGAAGTAGTAGGTCATTACCAGCGCCGTAAAACATAGCTCGTGAACTTAATTGATCCATACCTGGGTATTGTCGGAGCACCTAGGCACAGGTTGCAGGCCTGCAACCTTTGCAGAACACCTGTAACCTGTGGATCAAACGGATACGGATTTTATTCTTCATTTTTCACCTCACGTCGTAGTGGTATGTCGTAAGGCCTTGGGCTCGTTACGTGTATCCCTGTGCCTGTTTCAAGGTGCAGGTATATGCGTCTCGGGAAACGCTATTGCGAAGAGAGTAGAGTTATAATTTCCCAGAGTTATGCTCTAGTAGACGAGGTACTCAATTTCCGTCCTTTCGACGGGGGAAGCAAGGATTGTTTGTCCAATCTTGAGTTCACTGAAATTTCACACAGAGTTCACTGATAAGTCGAAGATCACAGGAAAGTTGTACGATTTCCTGTACTGGCATTTGCACCAAGAGTCGTCTGATTTTCAATGTGTTGGCGTCAGTCACACAGACACAAGCGAGTTGTTCTGATGGATCTTGTGTGCGTGACTGTCCATGAGGCCGTAAGGCGTCTATGCCGCCATCATGCGCCTTTTGTAAAAAGGTGCTGATTCGGACCAACTTGAGCTTACTGATGATGTCTAATGAGAGTCAGGCTGCCTGATGAGTTTACAATCATCTCTATCGATGATTGACTGATGAGTTATTCCATTTCTGAGAAATATGCTGGAGAGTTCTCTGGGTTTCACTAGAGAGTTTGACTGCGTAAGTTCTCTGCTAGTACACACGTACCGAGTTGACTGTTACAACGAGTTGTCTATGGGTTGGCGTCGTCCGATGCTGCCTAAGAGTCGTCTGAGTACGAGCTACGTACGAATACTCGAGGTAACCGGCGAATACAGACGACAACGGTCTGTTTTTACCAAAAACTCTGCGCTCTCGAAGCTTCTAGATCTTTTAAGAAGGGATATCAATATTCAGTAACAATGGATGCATATTTAGTTTCCTAATAGTTCATTTTTACTTATCATCAATTTTTGATTGCACCCTACTGTTTCTGACTGTTAAAAAAAAAAAAATAAAACTTCCGATAAGTTGAATGTGGTGTGTGTTATATCCAAAGATATTTATGATTAATCAATTTGAAGAATTAATAAAATTGTTTGGTAGCGGCTAAAAGGCTGAACGAGGGATCTTGGACTAACAGGGTTTTCCTCTTCTGATATGTAGTACTAAATGGATTTGTTGTTTAAAAGAAATTATTGCAATGAAGTTTCATCTAGCGAGAACCTACACCTCAATGAATGAAATTAATGTGATGAAGTACCTCGAGAAGACTCTGAGGCACTAAATTTCCTTTTCGTTTACTTTATTTAAACTCGAATTACAAGTCGGTATAGACTACAATTAATAAAAGGAAAGAAACTCAAGAAGAGATGTATTACTCTATTTTTGTTTAGTTTAATTTTAACTGAGTCTTTTTGGAAGGCGTCTCGTTACGATAACTAAAGAAAATCATATTACTAAAATTTCAATAGATAGGGAAATGCTAGCGAATTCCATGGAATATTCAAAAGCAAAAATAAGGTCAGATGTAACAAGTACGACGTGAAAACGTTATTTACAAACATTAGTTTACATTCAATAAAATAATTTAGTGATGTCTGAAGAAAGAAAACAGTTTTGTGCAATTACAAATTGATTTATACGCGCGGAAAAAGCTGAATGTTTTTCCGCATGTGTATTGTTCTCCTGGTTACTAGTTGATTGAGTTTAAAGGGACAACATTCATTCTGCTTTTCATACGTATCTGCCGTTCTTCTAAAACTGACAAACGTAAAATTTTTATAAGAAAATTTAACGTTAGTAATAAATGGTGATTTGACTTAAAAAAAAGCAGATGAATGAAAGTCTGATGAACATTCTTACGTCAGCACTGAATCACGTGTGAAATTAACTTACTTGATGTGTTACATGTATAACGCCATTAACAATAATACGTGTGTGAATAATTCACATAGTTTTATGTGTGTAAAAAATGTCTACAAAATGACTATAGTTTATTTATTGCATCATGCATTATCTATGTAAATTTCAAACAAGTGTAACGGAATTTTAAAGTTGGAGTGAGGGTTGACTACTAGGATTAATATGACATATAACACAGAGTTATTTATTTGTTGTTGAGCCATCGCTAGCTCTACATAACAAAATTGGTGGCAGCCAATAAAAAGCTTAGAAAAGTATAAAGTAACAGTTGCAAAAAAAAACAACTCTTAACTACATTCATCTTTTTAGTTAGGAAATGTAATAATAAAGCATGCAGGTGCTTACTCCATTCTGAACATAGGAGTAATCTTGGACAAACTTGATGACGTTTGCTATTTTTCGATCTAGTAAGCGGGTTTTACCAAATTCCTATGAAGAAAAAACATCGACATAAACAGCATTTAGTACTCTTCAAAGTCACTATAAATTTATCAAAGTAACTTTCGGGTTAAAAAATAGTCCATCAATATTTTGAAGAATAACGGCTAAGTCTTTAAGAGAGCTAATTGAAAAAGTATGTTTTGTTGACCCGGAAAATATCATCATCGATGCATCAACGCTGGAGGAACATAATAATAAATTATGTCTTACATCCCGTAATTTGCTGGCGGTCTCATAGTTTAAGTTGGAAGAAAAAACTTCTTCAACTTGTTCGGGAGCGAAGACTCCGCTTCAGTTTAGTGGTGATTACGAAATAGATATATTAAGGTACAAGAATGTTTACGACATATGTCAGGGTATTAACTTACCACTGTAGAAGATGCACTCTCACACACTAGACAACAACAAAGTCTAAAGAACAAACAGACAAGTTGATGAATAAAGAAAATTACTTGCATTGAATTTTTATTTGCTGACACCAAACGAAGTTTATTGATTGAATAAATATAATGATTGAATAATTACAAATTCTTCAAGTACTCAGGTTACAGAATTTTTCTAACAAGGAAACCTCGCGAGGTGGTCACCGTCGATTTAGCTGAGGTTTCTATATAATAATCTACGTCGAAAATGATAAATCACGTATTTTCTTTTCTGCAGAGAAACGTTCTAGAAGGGTGAAAATCACCCTCAAAGTTGACACCCTATAAAGGTGATTTTCAATTTTCACATATTTCTAATCGAAATTTTCATAAATGACCTTATACGTTAAAAACAACATAAAATCATCAAGAATGATTCAGCCTTAATGAAGCCTTTGTTTACAGGGACATAAAATGTGGTAACTTGACTAAGACAAGTCGTTTCTGTAGTGAACATCAGCGCTTACGCGCTTTAGCACATAGACGTTATCATTCCATGGAAAATTTAGAACTTCATATGCCAAAAAACTGTTCTGCTAAATATCAACACCGGTTGGAATTGGCGGCAACAATTTGTAAATTAGAAATGGGACGTGCCTACGAGACGAAATATAATTCCTCATAGAATGCTGGTCATAAAACTTGGAAACTGAAATTAAAGTCTGATCTATTCTATCTTTAAAAACTTTGGACACCCCGAAGCAGTTGGTCCAATATTTGAAACAAATTAGAATGGTTTGAAGGCGCTTTAGCTGATATTCCTACATACAAAATACAGGGTTGTACATCACGTGGTAGAATAGCCTTTACTATTAATTATGAAAAGTTGAAAAGTGAGCCAATATGGCCTCAATATGGTACAATTGTTGAAGTTGTAGAAGGGGTTACGTGTCCGTAAAAAGCTGACCTTCGAAGATATTTTTACGCTTTCTGTATTAAGTATCATGAATAATAATAATTTATGCTTTCCACGCTCACTCGTTGTCGCTGAACATTATGCTGAGCGCGGCGAAATTCGTACAGGTGATCTACAAAAATATTGGAAGATAATGTGTGACCGACGGTGTAATTTGCAATGTGAAGCAGCCTTAGAACTAGTAGGCAGAGCTGGCGTTAAAATACTCCATCAAGGCTGTGGCCTTGATGAAATCAATGCTTTTCAACGATATTTTGGCTGCAAGGGTACGGCTATTATTGTGTTCGAATTTTACACCTTAGGAAAAAGAAGTCCACCCTTATTCGATGGTCGGCGGGTCGTTGAGGAGCATTGTAGTCTCTTCATTGCACATGCTTTATAAAGAGATACGGTAGTGTCTCGTGCGCCAAACATAAATCGCCGCTATCTTTCTCTTACGTCACGACGAGGCTCTACCTCGTCTTTATACAAATTATAAGATGATTTTTGCAGGTTATAATTTTTAAAATTAAAACTGTTATTTATTAATTGGCTTAAATAATTTTAAGATTTCATGCTTCTATTAAATCTTAACAGTCATAACTCCTAAATAAATATTGATTGTGGTATCTGCTGTTACTTTTAATTTGTTCAGTCAACCAACTGACAGATTTCCTAACCTCTCAGGTTAGGTGAAGCCCCCGAGTCAATTTCATTGTGACACGGCACTACACAGAATACTTATGGTAGTGTCGTAGAAAAAATCTTGAGAGCCCTGTATCTATCCTTCAACTTTCTCCTCCACTAATTAACATTCGAGTCACTATCTAGTAACTAAACGAGCCAATCATCTATCGAGACGTCAGCATCTAGAGAATTCCTGAGCCAATCACAGAGCGTTGAGTGACCAATCAAAATTTGGGGGTGGTAGTCCAACCTTTCTTTTTGGACTTTCACCAGTTGCTTTCAATATTTCGAGGAGAAAGCACGCTTTGTTTTTTTGAGAGTTCATAGCGGAAGAAAAAGAGAGTTTTTGAGAGTTCAAGAGCTTCGAGAGTATTCATTCAGCTTCAGAGACCTTTACAGAGGTTAATTGAGTGAATCGATCCATCCTAAAGTTCAATAATTTCACTGCAAGAGTATTTTTTTCAAGTGATTAAAAAACGCACGTGAACAAGTGTCAACCATCTTGCGTGAGAGTAAATTATCTAAACCAACGCGAGTGTGATTTTCTGAAAAAGAGACTGACTGGTGCAATAAACCTTAAATAAATTAGTATATTTTCTTGAAAATTGATGAGTTAAGAGTTTTTTTGTTTTGTGATCCCTCTTTATTCCTCCTCACATTTCGGTGTTCGAGTTAATTTTTTTTTTTGAGATAATAAATTCTGGGCTTCACGCCACATAATTCAATACCGAATTTCCTTTTTTCATTGCGTCGACTTTGTACACAATACGCGTTTTGAATATCGGTAATCTATATAAATACGTGGAATTAACAAAATTTTTTTTTTTTTTTTAAAGGCCGTTATTCCATCTTTACCATATTTTTCCGTAATTTTTTATTTTTCAAATGAAACTTTAATAAACCGTCTTTGACCATTACCCATCATTATCGTTAATAGTATATCTCCATGTCTAATGCCCTAATGTCCTTGACATATCTTTTGAAATCACTGTAAAAAGTACTTCCTTACAATTTATCTAAAGTTTTATTCTTGTTACTCATTATTTGATAATTTACTCACATATTTTTATCACCCATGTTGGAGTTAAACTATCATTAATTTGACTGTGATGCATCTTTTTTTATAGATATTAATATCAAAGCAATTCCTGTAGATCCAAGATATGTTATTCCTGAATTAAGATTGATTGCACTTTCTGTGCAAAGTTTTACCCCAATTATAATTGCACCCACTCCATACAGTAATGATCAAGCATTAATGGAGACACCTAAACCTACATTATTAAATTATGTTGCCAACGTTAATGATATCATTGCAGTTACAGGATTAATCCAGTTGACACTTGAATTAATTACTGTAGGAGGGAATTCTGTTGGTTCTGGTGTTATTATAAACGATAATTATCATTTGCTTGTTGAAGTGATTTTATTCAAAGAAGATGCTAATCTACGGACTACGTAGATGTAGCTGACGACAACGACTCAATAGAGGGTGTTAGTGATATGGTGGAAAGAGTGAGCATCGACCAAGTGTCATCAAACATTGCAGGCAACTCTCAGGCCGAAGGTGGCACCGAGACCACATTAAAGGTGCCTGAAAGAACATCTCCAGCGCGTGGTAGGTCAAAGTCACCACCAGCAATCGCCAACACAACACAATTCAAGCTGACGTCTCAGATGGCAAGGTACCAAGAGCTCCAGTTCATGTATCAGGATGTGCTTGAGCTAGTAAGACAGCCTGCGCTCATGACAATGAGTGTAATTGAAGGTAAGCTCCCACAACTCAATGAGCTGTGGACCTACTTTGTGGTAGAGCACGAGGCATTAGGTGTCGGGTGCCGGCTAACACTCTTCAAGCACCCATACATGACTGATCGAGTCTATGAAAGTGCGTTGCGACTTCACTATCACACCGAGTCAACGCTTCACCGTGTCAAATCTGAATTGCACGAAAAGGACATTCAGAAGTCACTAGACGAGTACAGATCGTCAACTCAGGAGGCAACTTAAGTCATTTTGCAGCAGGCAACTCTCCCGGAAATAACCCTTCCGACGTTCTCAGGCGACTCCTCAGAATGGACCCAGTTTTGTAAGATGTTCACGTCTCTGGTACATGATCGTCAAGATCTACGACCAGTTTCCAAGCTCCATTACCTGAAGGCCAACCTGTCAGGCCCACCATCGCAACTTATCAGGCATGCCATCATGAATGATGAAGGGTATAAGCCAGCTAGGAAGCAACTGAAAGAAAGGTATGATAACCCTGAACAGCTCTTATTCTCTCGCATAAAACATCTGTTTAGCATTCCAACACCAGCATCTAAGTCAGCTGAACAGTTAGACAACTTAGTAGGCATTGTAAAGCAGAACTTGGATGCACTCAGGGCACTCAATGTTCCAGTCGACTCAGCCGACTACTTTTTGATCTATTTGGTGGCTAGTAAACTCGAGCAACATCTCCGAGAGTCCTGGGAGTCAGCTCAAGATGCAGCTCGTCAGGCAGAACGATGGCCTACTCCAGTGATCACGAAGAAGTCCAGATCACAACAACAGTCCACTCGCCAGCAGACAACTCAATCGCAGACGACTCGAGCCTCCAGGCATGGGGCTCAAAAAAGACAGGCTGATTACCCATGTGACCAGTGCAACAGTCGAGATCATTACCTAGTAGACTGCCAATCATTTGCAGCTCTCTCTCAACTGGAGCGATACAACCTGGTCCTCTCAGCACGGTTGTGCTTCAATTGTTTAGGCCACCACTCGATCCAGGTGTGCCAGTCTGACAAGCGGTGCAGTGTGTGCAATCAAAAGCACCACACAATGATTCACACACCCCGAACAGCATCCTTACGGAAGAGAGGCTATGGCCCAGGCCAAGAACCAAACTCACACTAGTCAACTCTCAGACGACTCACATGATTCAACAATCACCAAGAACAATACAGACAACGCAGAGATTCATGGAAGATTCTCTTCAGCACTTAGAGCAGCAGAAGAGATATGTATTAATGAGTCTTCAGGTCAATGAGACAGCTTAGCAGTCTTACTCGCCACAGCCAATGCAGTATTACTCTCAGACTACTCTCAGCTTCCAGTAAGACTCCTAATAGACTCAGGGTCTGAGCTGACGTTCATCTCATCAAGTGTGGTAAAGACTTGTCATCTCCAACGTCGTCCATCAGTAATATCAGTGCTGGGAATTGGTAACGAACCAGCTGTACTAACTAGAGGAGTGACAACAGTGACACTTAGATCAACTCACACACAGGAGCAAGTTACAATCAATGCTCATATCCTCAAATGTGTCACTGGTACTTTACCAACCAGACAACTCAAAGAACTCAACTGGTCAGCCCTCAACTCTCTGCAACTTGCTGATCCAGACTACTCAACTCCAAGACCCATTGACATCTTAATAGGAGCAGATTGTTATAGTCTGATTGTGAAAGCGGGCATCAAACAGTGTCCGCAGTCATCTCTCATAGCCCAAGATTCAATTTTTGGATGGATGCTCATTGGAAGTCCACACCCGACAAGATGCTCAAGTCAGAGAACTCATCACGCAGCAAGGGTCAACTCATACCAGCAAGTACCTGATCTCTTGACAAAATTCTGGGTTCAAGAAGAAGTTCCAGAGACCTTAGCCAGCCAACTCAGCCCAGATGATCAATCTTGTGAAGATCATTATGTTACGACTCATTCAAGAGATCAAGATGGGAGATATATTGTGAGAATACCACTCAAAGCATCACCATCTCTTCTAGGCAACTCATCAGCGAGAGCTCATCAGTGTTTACTACACATGATCAGACGACTCACAAAAAATGACTCATATGTACAACTCTATCACAACTTTATGCAAGAATACGAGTCACTGAACCACATGAAACGAGCCGAGGCAAGTCCAGTCAACTCTTTAGTGTATTATTTGCCTCATCATGGTGTCTTAAGAGAAGACAGTGTTACTACAAAACTCCGGGTAGTATTTAATGGCTCTAGTCCATCTTCTAGTGGTCTGTCAGTGAACGATATTCAACATACTGGTGCCAAAGTCCAGAAAGACATTGCAGACGTACTCATTTGGATAAGGCAGCATAAATTTGTGTTTATATCAGACATCACAAAGATGTACAGACAAATCAAAGTCCATCAAGATGATTGGGATCTTCAGAGAATCCTGTGGGTGGACGAGCACTCCAAGATAATCCCATATCAACTCACAACAGTCACGTATGGTACCAGATTAGCTCTCTTTCTGGCTGTTCGCACAATGATCCAGCTAGTAAAGGATGAGGGTCAAAAATTCCCTCTAGCTGTTGATCCACTATTAAAAGGAAGATATGTGGACGATATTTTTGGAGGTGCTGACACAGTGAGTCAACTGATAGACATCTCAACTCAAGTCAGACAACTCTGCATGGCAGGTGGCTTCCCGTTGGCGAAATGGCACAGCAACTCAATCTAATTCCTTCAGTCAATCACAGACAACTCATCAGAAGAGCAGATCCACTCACTTGAGAGCTGTAAAACAAAATTACTTGGGCTCTCGTGGATTCCAGCGAACGACTCATTTAAGTTCAACTCAAAACTTCCTCGTGAGAAGTCTAAGCTCACGAAGAGAATAACTTTATCAGAAACAGCACAACTCTACGATCCACTTGGATTTCTAGCACCTTTCATTGTCAGAGCAAAGATGTTGCTACAAGAAATCTGGCTAGATAAACTGTCATGGGATGACCAAGCCTCAGATCACATTATCACCAAGTGGACCAGCTTCAGATCAGAACTCTCACACGTTTCAGACCTCTCAATTCCACGATGGTTAAAGATTACTCAGAAATCTACCGTGGAACTTCATGGCTTTTCAGACGCCTCACAACTAGCTATGGCAGCAGTTGTTTATATACGGGCTACTTATCCAGATCATGGAACTTGTTCAACTATAGTCTGCTCAAAGTCTAAGGTTGCTCCATTGAAGAAGATGTCTATTCCTAGACTAGAACTCACCGCAGCATTGCTGCTTGCCAGACTAATCACTTATGTAAGGAACAACTTAGACATTCAGCCAACTCAAATAGTATGTTGGACATACTCCTCAGTAACTCTGACCTGGATTCAGTCTCACTCATCCCGTTGGAAGGAGTTTGTAAGAGATAGAGTGTCAGCAATTCAAGATCTCACTCCAATCAGCGTTTGGAGGTTTGTACCTGGCAAACAAAATTCAGCGGATTGTGCTGCTCGAGGTATCAGCATATCCCAGCTTCGGAAGCACCCCCTGTGGTGGACAGGTCCACAGTGGTTAACAGCAGACGAATCATCATGGCCAACTCAATCATCAGTGTACGATTCAAAAGCTCAGCAAGAAGAGCGACCAGTGATTACGCTAAATACTCAGACAATTCACCATGATTATCATTGGGATATGATATACAGACATTCTCGTCTAATCAAATTGCTCAGAGTGACTGCAATTTGCTTCAGGTTCAGCCAACTCCTTAGACGAGTACCTCAGTCATCTCTTACCTTTCCTCTCACGCCACGAGATTTAGAGACAGCAAGGATTTTTTGAATAAAGGCAACTCAAGAATCGTACTTCTCACAGGAAATCAAGCAGATCAACTCAAATTCACTGCCCGTCTCACACCCCCTCGCACGATTGACAGCATTTATTGACACTCAAGGAGTCATACGTGTTAGAGGGAGGTTAGCAAATGCTAGCTTGGACCAAGAAGCAAAGCATCCTGCAATCCTACCACAGAACACTCATCTTTCCAGACTAATCATTGCAGATGCACATGAAAGAACATTGCACGGTGGGACGCAGGCAACTCTGAACCTCATACGATCATCATACTGGATCATCGGTGGACGACTCCCAGTACGATCCTATATTTATCATTGTATGAAATGTGCTCGTTTACGTGGCGAACGAGCGAAGCAGTTAATGGGTCAATTGCCGTTGTCAAGAATCACTCCAGCCCGACCATTTGCTGTCTGTGGTGTGGATTACGCTGGTCCCATCACGCTAAAGACTTGGAAAGGCAGAGGCGCCAAAACATCTAAGGGTTGGATGCGCATTTTTGTGTGCTTCGTTACATCTGCACTGCACTTAGAGATTGTAACAGATTATTCAGCAGACTCATTCATTGCAGCGTTCAGACGGTTCACTGGACGTCGAAGTGTCTGCAGAACTCTCCACAGTGATTGTGGCACCACATTCCAAGGCGCAGACACGCTCATCAGACAACTCTTCAAGCAGGGGACTCAACAGGCCAGTCAACTCGCAGCTGTATTTACAAAGGATGGAACTAAGTGGAGGTTTAATCCACCAGCTGCACCACATATGGGAGGAAAATGGAAAGCTGCAGTCAAATCTGTAAAGTTCCATATTAACAGAACTATAGGCGACTCACTCTTTACATATGAAGAGCTTTCCACACTGCTTGTCCAGATAGAAGCAGTCCTCAATTCCGGACCACTCGAACCTCTCTCAGCCGACTCTACAGACATCTCAGCGTTGACTTCAGCACACTTCTTGGTTGGTGAACCGCTCGTAACATTACCAGAGCCTTCACTGAAAGATGTGCCAATGCCACGCTTGTCCAGGTGGCAATATATTCAGCAGCGACTCCAATCGTTTTGGTCAACGTGGTCAAAACAATACCTTCAGCAGCAACTCGCCATTCCCAAGTGGAAACACCCCCTTCACAACATCACAGTCGGCTCACTTGTACTACTCACTGACGAGAGGTTCCCACCAACGAAGTGGCCTCTCGCCAGAGTGATTGAGGTGTTCCCAGGATCAGACGGACTCATCAGAACAGTCAAACTCAGGACAGCAGCAGCAGAACTCGTCAGACCATTCACAAAACTAGTCATCTTACCATACACTCCACCAGCAGAAGATCAGCAAAGGCGTTGCTGATGGTGGGACAATGTTCTGACTTGGAGGGCCCCAAGTCAGCAAGTCTCAGAATATTTGAAAATTGTTAATGCCGGACTTGTCCACCGGTGCGTCAGTCAACTCACTGGACCAATCATCGGTAAGTATTTCCCTCATGGCCCAGAAGGCAACTCTACGGCCCTAGTGATGCCAACAAGCACGCGGTTGAGCACTTGTGGCGTCAGTTAGCTCCAGGCAAATCACGCGGTCATCTCTGTATAAATTTTCGCAGTCGAATCGCAGTTTTGTGCAGTCAGCTCACCTTTGGTAGTACCAAATACGGTCAAGTAGACTCAGACAACTCTCACGAACATAAGTGAATCATCATAATCAATCTCATCAGTGCCAGTGGTCTAGTAAAGTCAGTTGTAGTGTCTTTGGGCGCGAAGCTGAACTGGCGTCGACGCCAAAGTGCCTCACGGATAGTCACACATACATCACACACTCGAACAACTCAGGTGTATAGTGTGCCTGTTGCTATTCACTGTGTGAGACTTTTTTTGGTGAAAAAATAACTATCAGACAATTCATAAGTGTATGAACACTGAATGTACAGTCAACTCACATAAACTTAGTGATTATTAATTTCTATTGTTTAAGTTAAGTGTTATTGGTTAATAAAATCTATAAAACCCATACAAATTGGTGTTAATAAACTATTTTTAAGGAACCTTCTAGCATCCAACCTGTTTCTTTGTTCTGCTCATATCATTACAGTCCACTAGTTTTTAGTTTTCTCGTCCGGTCGACTCGAAGTCAGAACACAGTATTAATATAAAAAATTAATGAAGGTTGGATTAAAGTTTTTTTTTTGAATAATTTTTAAATGTTTATTACATTTATAGTGTTGAAGACTACATATTATTATAATTAACATTAGAAATCAGACTATGTAAGAATAGAATAAAGTTTTGTTGCGTACTTTTATAAAATAAAACTATTTCATAAATTTTTTGAAATAAAACTAGAAAAGTTAATAATCTGATGTTTCTTAATAAATTTATCATTTAATTTTTCTATTTCAGCTCCGAAGTGAATGTTTTTCATTTCTGATAGAAATAGAAATTGTTTTGTTTTTTTTTAACTATCAACTACGGATTGAGGTTAGTAATGTACATAATTTTTATTTAAGTACAAAGACATTTTTCGTTATTAACAGATGAATATGCGACTAATCATTAACAAAAAAAAATTTAATATTCGAATCTTAACAAATTTACTTTTTTTTGAACTACATAAAAATCTATGCTGTTAATTCGAATATTAATGAAATAAATAAAAAAAACATCTAAATGATTTTAACATATATAGCAAAACCAAGGAAAGAGTAATCTTGATTTGGTGTTTAATCTCACGCCTCCTGATAAGATTTTATTATGGGGACGTGACGTAGGACACCAAATCAAGACTACTTTTTCCTTAGTTCTGCTATATTAGATACAATACAAATTATTTGAAAATTGCTTTATTAATAATAACAGGTTTTTTTTTTATTTCACATCTACAAATTCAAGCTTGAAGCTTTATAAGAAGCTTTCGAATTGAATAAATTGGAAATTTGAAATTGAAAATTAAAATGAAAAATTATAATCTAAATCTGAAATTAAAAAATAGGTCTGAGCACACTTTGACTGTGCCAAGACGACAAACTTCCCATTAGTAATTGTTTATAACAAATTTAAATAATTATAATCAATGTATGTTGAAAGCATCCGAATCCATGTGATATACACATTGCTTAATCAATAAATACAGTTTTTAATTGTTTATAACAAATCCATATTGTTATAAACAATGCGTAGTTGTTGATAGTCATATTTGGTTGTGAACAATAATGTCTAGTCAGTATCGACACAATTCACGAATGGAAATGTCATTGTTTGACTTAAAAATATTTTAAATAGCTAATCTTTTCATTTTTTTTATGAGTTATTTTGTTATAAAAAAAACGGCTTAACCGAATTTGTTCAAATTTCATTCAAATCTTCTTTTAGATGATATCTTTCGAATTAATTTTGGTTGAAGTCGATATCTCAATCCGTTATTGAGATATTGAAAATGAAAAAAATTCTGACGTCCATACATACGTACGTACACACACATCATTCTAAAAATTGGTCAGTATGCCTGCAAGATATGATGAAAATTCAAATTTCACCAATCGACCTAATTTCAATAACTTCCTAATAGGAAGTTAAAAATTATGTCTATAACGAAATTTTATTATAAAAAAAAAATTTTTTTTGCTCTTTTTAAATTTAAATAGTTTGTTATTTACATTTAATGTAACTTATAAAAATTCAAACAATCAAATTGCACAAATTTAAATAAAACTTTTTTAGATATAATGTTTTTTACTAATTTATAAATTTTTTTGTTGAATTTAATTTTACACTATTCATTATAATATGGACTGGTTTAATTAATTTAAAGAAAAATAGATCATATTATTAACTATAATAAAATAGCGATTAAAAATTTCTCTTCAAATCAAAAAATTAGTTCCTTTTAATGAGGTTTAGAAGATTCAATCAAATTTAATTGAAAAAGCGCGTGCGAAGCGCGCTGTATGTTTGCTAGTAGTACACTAAGAAACGAATGGAAATATAAATATAGTACTGGAAGTTATTATTCAGCTGTTACAAGACAATATATTAATTCTATACTATCAACTATTTATTGTTTCAGTTTCAAGAGAATTTCTAATTGCAAAGGAAAATTTGCTCCAAGTCAATTGAATTTTCGAAACAAGTAAATATTATCTAAATGATCAGAGTAGAAATGAGTCCAAATCTGCAGAAATACACATTTTTCGATCAAACACTGTTATATCATTGTAATATGCATGTAACGTTATTAATATGACTTAACTTATATTAGAGTAATGTAACATCGAAGTAACACAGATGTTACTATTCCCTACTAAGGGATAAAGCAATGTAACATTACTTCGTTACTTCAAGTATATATACTCGTTATATTTTAACGAAAAAAATTTTCTAAGATGTTGCTAATATATTAACATTATACTTGTTTTCTTACATTTCTGTTGTTCTTGAGGTAAATTTAACGTACTATCTATCACTATCACTAACGTACCATCTAATAGGAATTTATTCATTTTTATAGGAAGAAATATGGCGAGTTTTAATAAAAAAAAGACTTCTTTTAGAGCAAAAGTACTACTTAGAAATTTTCATTCCCTGAAGTACCCTGCTGCGACTACCCTATTAAAATATGTCAAATCCTACAGACTTTCCAGAAGATTTCTTCAACACAGAATGAAAAATTAAAATAGATTTAGGAATATTTGTTTCGAAATGAAGTTGAATAAAAAATATGGTTTTTAGTCAGAATTGAGAATAAACATTATAAACCCATAGAATTCTGATTTTTCCTATTAACGAATTTTAATAGGATTATGAATATTGTATCTATCATACATCAAATCTCGATTGAACTCTGCATTAATTCGGGTAGTTCTATCACATAGGATCGGATTTTGAATTATTGATTCAAGTATTTACTGGATAAATAACGAGAATTTCCAGTTAATTATTACTATAAATTTAATAGTTAATTTTAAAGGTGACTCTCACTTCGGTTATATTTTAAACTTTACATTT